GCTTAATCACTCTATTCATAAAAGCTACGAAGAGACGATTCACAATGAGATATTAAAGTTGTCCTCATTAGGATATTTTTTTTAATAAAAACATAAACACATAAAACAAGCAAATCACATGCAAGCATTCGAGAAACTTAACAACTTAAGCAAATTTATTCACCCCCAAACTTATCTGAAACTTTGACCTCAATGCGAAATAAAAAAAATGGGGAGGGGACTTACCTGATGGACAACATTAATTGTCGTCCTCAACATCATCGTCCTGGTATTCAGAATTAGATTGGCAGCGTGATCAGGTAGGAAAGGTGGCTGAGGAAATGTTCGATCAGAGTAAATCGAAGCCAATACTGCATTGAACTCATGTTGATAATGGAATTGCTCGCACAATATATTTTGCATCAAATTCATTTGCAATTGCATGTCATAAAGCTAAGTGGCAAAGTCAGAAGTGGGATCACTAGCTGGTGTCGGTCGGCGTGAACGGGGTGACCGGTCGCTCCGAGGAGAGGGTGGAGCACTAGTGGATTCGAAGCGGTGTAAGAACTTCCAAGTACGCGCTCGTGTGATAGTCGATTTAGGGTGCACAACCTCCTTAGTCGGGTATGTGACAACACCACCCGCTAAGCAAATCTCATAAATCAATGATGAGTGCCCTAGACCACTTGTCATCGATCCTCTCAAAGTGTGTAAGATGTTGTTGTGAATAACTTTACCAACATCAATTGATATGCAGCATTGAATGACATAATTAAGGGCAGCCCATTCTTTTGTTACTTCACTTAAATTGCTATTGGGAATAAGCTTGCTAGAAATGAAGTGATGCCAAGACTTACAACCCAAAGTCATACCAGAAGTAGGAAAGTTAATTACATCAGTCTCCGAACGTTTCCATGTAGTACCAGTTGTGGTCAAGACTCGAATGACCTCATCAGGATCAACACCCTTGTCACGAAGTCTAGAGTACTCATCATGTTCAATATGTTGCAAATGATAAAACCTGTTGATAGAGGTTCTATCAAACGGTATCTATTTACCCCGCACAAACACTCGAAGATCTCGATGCTCCTTCGCATTGGCGTAGAACTCCCTAACAACCAGAATTAGCGCCAATCGTGGTTGTCGAGCAAACACTTCCTAGTTCCACCGACCTATCTGCTCTGTTATATAATTGTCAAAACCATGTTTAGGGATACAGGTCTTATGTACCACCAAGCTATTATATCGTTCAGCGGCCTCGACACTAATGAATTTGCTCTGTCAAATGAGCTAGAAGAGGAGGCTACGGCTTTAGATCTCTTTTTAGGCGACATTGGACCCGTGCAAGGGTAGAACAAGCAAACCATGAGCAAAACAGTAGTTTTGGAAAATAAGGCAAGGCTTAAAATCTAGCCATAAGAGGGAACTATGGTCGAACGTACAATAGATATATTCTAAACCCAATTTCAATTCACGATTATCTACCTAGCAATTCCCACATAAGTTAATTAGCACAATAGCCAAAATAACTCCTTTGTACCCAACTAAGTTCACCTAGGCAATCCATCAAACACTTTGAAGGAACCAAAATTCCACCAAAAATTGCCCATAATTTGGGAGTAATTCATGCCACATTATTCGTACCACACACAAATTTCTTGACACTACAACAAAGTAAGCCCTGCTCTTAACATAATTATAAAAAATAGGCACATAAAAGCAACAACTATCATGTAAGAGAGGAAAAAAATAAGGAGCAAATACAATAGCCATACCTGGAATGGTGTTGTAGAAACTAATAGGGATGGATGAATCCACACTTAGCAACAATAAGATGTGGAAAAAAATAAGGGGGATTGGGAGGGGGGCGAGAATATGCGTAATTGAAAGAATTGTGATGTGGGTGAGGTGATAAAATAAATTCAACCAAAAACATAACTAAATAAGGAAAGATAGAGGAAGAGTGTACCTTGAAAGGGTTGAGGAGGAGATGAAAAGGGGTAAACTTAAGGGGATTGGGGGAGAAGATGAGAGGTAAGAGGGGTTGGGAAATTTTGTATTGTGAGGAGAGAGAGGGGTTGAGGTTATAAGAAATAGAAAAGAAGTGAAACAATAAAAAAAATTTGTGGGGAAGGGTTAAGTTTGCAGCGCCCAGGCGCTGCGTTTCTGTCGAAACAGGCAAAACTCAGTGCCTAGGTGCTGAGTTTCTGTCGTTCAGTGGTTTCACAATGCCTAGGCGCTGCGTTTCTGTCGAAACAGGAAAATCGTAGTGCCTGGGCGCTGTGAACTCAGCACCTAGGAGTTGAGTTTCTGCCGTTCAGCAGTTTCGCAGCGCCTGGGCGCTAAGTTTCTGCCATTCGATAGTTTTGCAACGCCTATGCACTGCGTTTCTATTGAAACAGGTAGATCCCAACGCCTGGGCACTATGAACTCAGCACCTAAGCACTGAGTTTCTGATGTTCGGTAGTTTCGCAGCTCCTGGTGCCTAGGCGCTGAGTTTCTACCTCTTTTTTGTCATTTTTTTTAAATTCCTCCTCCTTATCACACTCATTCATTTTCATTGTAGAACTCAAATTCTACAATATGTAACCTTTATGGATTCTCCTACAAAAAAATGAGAGAAAGTGTTACTACGATAGCATAGATTACCAAAACAAAAATGAAACCAAAGCAAAAACCAATAATCAAATAAAGGGTAGAGTTTGGGTTGCCTCCCAAAAAGTGCTTCTTTTAAGTCATTAGGTGGACGTAGTGCCGCATTTATTCAAGAACAGCTAGACTCTCTTTAGTGGTGGGAATTCTTTCGCATAATGCTTGATGTATTGGCCATTTACTTTGAAATTTCCTTTACTTGGATGGTGCAATTCAATTGTCCCGTAGGGAAACACCTGAGAGATCTTAAACGGACCAGACCATCGAGACTTCAATTTTCCTGGAAAAAGCTTAAGCTGGGAATTGTATAATAGCACTTGATCACCCACTCAAAAAATTCGTTGCCTGATGTTCTTGTCGTGCCACTGCTTTTTCCTTTCCTTATAGATGGATGCATTCTCATATGCCTCTCTTCTGAATTCCTCTAACCCATGTAGCTGTAGTACTCTTATTTCTCCAGCTTTTTCGAGGTCCGTGTTTTATTGCTTCAATGCCCAATATGCTCTGTGCTCAAATTCCACTGGTAGGTGGCATGCTTTCCCAAAGACTAGATGGTATGGGGACATTCCTATAGGTGTATTCTAAGCTGTGCGATATGCCCATAAAATATCATCCAATTTTTTTGACCAATCCTTGTGAGATGCATTCACAGTGACCTCCAAAATTCTTTTCAATTGTCTGTTTGATGTTTCCACCTGTCCACTTGTCTGAGGGTGATAAGGAGTGGCAATTCGATGTTGTACTCCGTACTTATGCAAAACTGCCTGGAACAACTGATTGCGGAAGTGCATTCCACCATCACTTATACTAGCCCTAGGTGATCCATAGCGATTAAATATGTGTTTCTTTATGAAGTCCACCACCACCCTTGCATCATTTGTAGGCAATGCTTTAGCTTCTATACATTTTAAAACATAGTCCATCGCAACCAGGATGTACCGATTGTTGTAATATGATGGAAATGGACCCATAAAATCAACCCCAGACATCAAATATTTCCACTTCCAAAATATTGTTAAGTGGCATCTCATGACGTGCTGATATGTTACCTGTTCTTTGACACTTATTGCATGACCTACAGAAATTGTGGCACTCCTTGAATAATGTAGGCCAAAAAAAAACCACATTGGAGCATCTTTGCTACTATTTTAGTGGGGCCAAAGTGCCCTCCATAAACCGAAGCATGTACTCGTGAAAGGATCGATTTTATTTCATCCTCAGGCACACATCTCCTAATGATTTGGTCTGCCCCTCTCCTATATAAATTTCGATCATCCCAGTAATAGAATTTCGCTTCATGACTGACCTTCTTCTTTTACTGATAGGTGAGATCCAGATCCATATAGCCACTGGCTAATTAATTAACAATGTCTGCATACCTCGAAGCTTTTTCTACTTGCAGTAACTATTCATCTAGGAATACCTCATTAATATTCATATCATCTGAATCCTGCTATTGCTCTATCCTTGATAAGTGATCCGCTGCCTGATTTTCTGTTCCTTTTTTATCACGAATCTCGATGTCAAATTCTTGTAGTAACAGCACCCAGCGAATTAACCTTGCTTTCGCGTCCTTTTTCTCAAACAAATACTTCAGAGCCACATGGTCTATATAAACTATCACCTTGGACCCAATCAATGAATTTGTCAAAAGCGAAAACAACTGCAAGCAATTCCTTTTCAGTTGTTGCATAGTTGATTTGAGCATCATTCAATGTTTTGCTAGCGTAGTAGATAACATGAAATACTTTTCCGTTGCGTTGTCCAAGCACTGTCCTCACTACAAAGTTACTGGCATTACACATGAGCTCAAAAGGCAATTCTCAATTTGGAGCCACTATCACTGGTGCCGATGTCAAATTTTCTTTCAAAGTGTTAAAGGCTTTCAAACACTCATCAGAAAATTGAAATGGTATATCTTTCTCCAACAAGTTGCACAACAGCTTTGTAATTTTCGCAAAGTCTTGAATGAATCTTCTATAAAATCCTGCATCTCCCAAAAAATGCCTGATCCCCATTACTGAATTAGGTGGCTGCAATTTTTCAATCACCCGTATTTTGGCTTTCTCCACTTCAATCCCCTGTGCAGAAATTCGATGTCCCAGTATTATTCCTTCCTTTACCATGAAATGACATTTTTCCCAATTAAGCACAAGGTTCTTCTCCTCACATCTTTGCAATACAAGAGCCAACCGCTCCAAGCAATCGTCAAAGAAATCTCCAAACACAGAAAAATTGTCCATAAAAACCTCATTGTACTTTTCTACCATGTTAGAAAAGATGGCCACCATGCATCGTTGAAAGTTTACCTGTGCATTGCATAAACCAAAAGGCATTCTTCTAAATGCAAACGTTCTATAAGGACATGTGAAGGTTGTCTTCTCTTAGTCTTCTGGAGCAATTACTATCTGATTGTACCCTAAATATCAGTCTAGAAAGTAATAATGAGAGTGTTCTGCCAATCTTTCCAACATCTAATCAATGAGTGGCAATGGAAAGTGGTCCTTTCTAGTTGAATTATTTAGCTTTCTATAATCTATGCATACTTTCCACACTGTCACTAACCGTGTTGGTATCAGCTCGTTGTTCTCGTTCTTCTCCACTATGATTTCACCCTTTTTAGGTACAACATGCACAGGACCACGAGCTATCAGAGATGGGATAAATTATTCCTACATCCAATAATTTCAGCACTTCATTTTGCACGACTTCTTTCAAGGTTAGATTCAGTCGGCGTTGTCCTTCCACTGATGCCCTTGACCCGTCCTCCATTAGAATCTTGTGCATGCAAAGAGTTGGACTAATCCCTCTTATATCAGCTATTGTCCATCCAATTACCATTTTGTGTTGCCTGAGTACCTCCAACAATTTATTCTCCTCTTCCCTTGTCATGTCATTTGCAATGATTACTGGCAGTGTTGAAGATTCTCCCAAATATGCATAACGAAGATGGGAAGGTAAAGGCTTAAGTTCAAGAGTGGGTGCCTTTTCCACTGAGGATACTGGGGGAGAAGGGTTGTCTCCTAGAGATTCATACTGCCAATGCCTTCATCCTATGGGTTGCTCGGCTAAGTTGACAACACATTCATCTTTTCCTACATTTTTTGCTTCCAATTGCGTAAGCCCTGCCTCATAAAGATTTGTGTGATGCTTTATATCAAATGTATCGTCCATAAGCTCTTCAAGAACATCAACTTGGCAGAAAGCGTCGGAAGTCAATGGGTGTTTCATTACCTTGAACACGTTGAATATGACTTGCTCATTGTCCACTCGAAGAATCATTTTTCCATCATACACATCAATCAATGCTCTCCCAGTAGCCAAGAACGGTCTTCCCAAGATCAGAGGAATATTTGAGTCCTCTTCCATGTCCAAAATAATAAAATCAGCCGGAAAAATAAATTGGTCAACTTTAACAAGCACATCTTCAATAATTCCCTTTGGTCGTTTGATCGATCTATCGGCCAGTTGCAAAGAGATTGTTGTAGGTTTTGCTTCTTCTAATCCAAGAGACCTGTAAATAGAGAGAGGCATCAAATTAACACTGGCACCTAAATCACATAAAGAATGTTCAAAGAAATTAGAACCAATTGTGCAAGGTATAGTGAAACTCCTTGGGTCTTTTAGTTTAGGAGGTAGCTTTCTCAATAGTATTGTACTACACTCCTCGTTCAAGCATACTGTCTCATGTTCTTCTAGCTTCCTTTTGTTAGACAGGATCTCTTTCAAGAATTTCGCATAGCTGGGCATTTGGGCAATTGCGTCTGCAAAAGGAATATTGATGTGCAGTTTCTTGAAAATCTCGACAATCTTGGCAAACTGATTATCCAACTTCTTTCTTTGTAACCTTTGAGGGAAGGAAATTGGTGGCACATAAGCCTTCACGGGGCTGGGTGCTCTCACTGCAGGTGTTTCTTTCCTTTCGTTTTCCTTGTCAGTTGGTTGTTCAAACTCTACTCCTTTCCCAGCCTCTTTACCCATTATTTCCTTTTCTTTTCGCTCAGGTCTCTTCACATGTATTTCTGGAAGTTGTACCCCACTCCTGGTAGTAATAGCTTGCACTTGCTCTTTTGGATTGACCATTGTGTTGCATGACAATGTCCCTTGTGGGCATTCTGCAAGCTATTGAGCTATCTCACCAATTTGTGTTTCCAACTTCTTGATTGATGCTTGCTGATTCTGAAAGTTAGTGTCAATCTGCTGAAACCCATTGTCAGTCTTCTGCATGTACTAGTTGAACATCTCCCCCAAACTTGGTTTTTTCTCCTGTTGGGCATTATTTGAACTGTTCCCTTGTTGATTATCCGACCATCTGAAGTTTGGGTGCTGTCTCCATCCTAGGTTATAAGTTTGAGCAAATGGATTAAAATTTCAAAACCCATTCTGAATGAAATTGACCTGCTTGTCGGGATAGCCTATAGATGTGCAGTTTTTTGTCAGATGATTAGCCCCGCAGTTCTCGCATGATGGACTAGCTATCACTGCATGTGCTCCTTTCGTATATGATTTCACCAATAACTCCACTTATTTTGTCAATGCCACTATTTGGGCATTGGTAGCTACTGTGCTGTCTAACTCATACATTCCTCCTGTCTTTGGTGGCGCCACTCTTTCGAATGAGAACATTGAATGTGTAGTGAAAATCAACTCAAACAGTTCCATGGTTTGCTGCACAAATTTTCCTATAATTGATCCTCCAGCTAAGGCATCAACTTGAGATCTTGACAGTGGTGTAAATCTAGTGTAGAAGTACTGCACTTCATTACCTATAGTAATTCCATAGTTTGGACATTTTCTCATCAACTCATTAAACCAGTTCCATGTTTCGTGATAGTTTTCTCCCTCTTTCTATTGAAAAGTTTGAATTTCTAATATGATTTTAGCTACCCTCACCGGTGGGAAAAATTTATTACAGAACTTCCTAATTAGTTCTTCCCATGTAGTAATGCTAGCGTGAGGCTCAACATCTAACCACTCCAATGCAGTATCTCTCAATGTAAATGGGAATAGTCATAGTTTAATAGCATCTTCATTGACTCCTGGAGAATGAAACTTCCGACAGTTTTTGAGAAATCTAGAGATATGCGTATTTGGATTCTCTTGAGGTAGCCCGTAGAATTGCAGGCTGTTGCTCATCAAGTTAATCCAATCTGGCCTGATCTGAAAGTTATTCACCCCAAAATTTGGATACACGATACTAGAGCGCGTGGGTGCTACTATAGGTGTCAGAAATATTGATACTGGCAAATCACCTTCATTTATTTCCCTTGCTCATGCTACTGTTCCGGTGGTGCCACTCTTGCGGCCATTTGTCCAATCGGCTGAATAGGGATATGGATTTATTGATTGTCAGCCATTTGATGTTGCTATCTTTGTTTGTGTTCCTTGCATCTTCGTCTGAAGGTACGTTCTATCTCCGAATCAAATGGTTCAAGATTGTCGCCTTGGGCACGGAGCATACAACGAACACAATTTTTTGTAAATAAAAGAAAAATAAACAAATCAAATAACAGTCAAAATAAAAAATAAATTAAGAATAAAAGAAATAGTCATCGACAACGACGCCAAAAACTTGTTGTAAAATTTTGTTTTGCAAGTGTACGACCCGTAACAAATAATAGTGGACCTAAGAGTCCGCGATCCCACAAGGACTATTTTCTAGCAATTAATTCATTTTTTTAACAACTATTTGGCTAAAACAAATTAAAGATTGTAAAATATGGGTTTTAATCTAAATTCTAGAAAATAAATGAATGTTCACACGATTGATTGGAGAATCAGATAATGAATGGATGTTAGGGTAGAATAACTTCACCAATTGATCACCTTTACATCTCAAATTAAAACTCAATTCTAATGTAGTGCTCGGTCGAATTCTCCTATTATATTCAATTTACCCCTCTCGAGTTCTCATTGAGCCTATTCAACTAATTAAATTTCATATCTCTATGCAAATTCAACTTAGTTAAACGAGTTCTATATCTTAGGAATTCAATTATGACCACAATAAATGGTATAGGTATCTCTACTCGTTATACCAATGTATTGGATTTTACTACATGGTCTAAATCCTAAACTCATATCTCTATTTGTAAAGAATTCACAAAAATCATCAAATTATTGATCAGATAATTTAATGCATTCAACTCATAGCAAAATCAACACATGGAAGAATTAAAAACTGAAAGTCTTAATAAGAGAATGTAAAAGATCCCAATTTGTTACATTATTCCCCCTAACAATGATTTTAGCTACTCATAACACAAGAGGAAAAGTAGAAATTTATCTTAGAATACATCACCGAGTTTGTAATAAAGATGTAGAAGAAAAAGTAGAATTCTTGCACCAAGATCTCCTTCCTCTTCCAATGAATGCTTATGATCTTCAATTGCTTGGTGTTAATCTTCTTGAATTTCTCTTTTTGAATCTCCACTCTTGTTGTCTTCTCTCCAATATGTCAAGAACACTTCAAAAGTATGAGGAATATGTATTTATAGGTGCCCCTCCATTTTATGTAGTAGTAAGGTTTTCATGGATTTAAAAATGGCCCAAAAAAGGCGCCCTAGATCGTCAATTGCATCGCCTAGGCGCTACAAGACAGCACCTAAGTGCTATGTCTTCAACACCTAGCTACTGATGGTAGCACCTGGGCGCTATGGTTGCCACGCCTAGGTGCTGCCTCTCGGGTCCAAATTTCATCTTTTTTTTAGTTTCGTGGCGCTAAGGTACTATGAATGCAGCGCCTAAGCGCTGTCTTTTTGCCCCAATTTCGTGTTTTTGGCCACTTCGTCCACTTTAATACTCTTTTCACATCACTTTTCCTAATATTCAAAACAACACTAACAAACACATCAAAAACATTCTATACTCACAAGATCTAGCAAAAATCAAGCTAAAATTGTGCAAAAATCATGAGTGTAACGAACTCATCAGTTTACACTTTGCCATGTGACATTAACCTATTTGACAGTTTAAATTTCAAACAATTTTCCCATCCAATTGACACTTGACAACAATGCAAGCGTCAAACAACGTGTCGAAAATCAGTGTGCAAATAGTAAAGTTCAATCGGTAAGGACTTTGCCACATGTACACGATGGTGCACACTTTAGTTTACTCTTTGTCACGTGACATTACCCTGTTGGACAGTATAAATTTCAAATAGTTTTCCCATCCAATTGACACTTGACAACAATACAAGTGTCAAACAACTTGTTGAAAATCAGTGTACAATTAGCAAAGTTCAATCGGTAGTGACATTGCTACATGTATACTATGGTGTACACTTTAGTTTAAATTTTGCCACGTGACATTACCCTGTTGGACAGTGTAAGTTACAAACCCTTTTCCAATCCAATTATCACTTGACAACAAAGCAAGTGTCAAAAAACATGTTAAAAATTAGTGTACAAATAGCAAAGTTCAATCGGTAAGAACCTTGCGACATGTACACTATGGTGTACAGTTTAGCTTACTCTTTGTCACTTGACATTACCATGTTGGACAGTTTAAATTTCAATCAGGTTTCTCATCCAATTGACAATTGACAATTGTGCTAGGGTCAAGCAACGTGTCAAAAATCATTGTATAAATGGCAAAGTTCAATCGGTAAGAACCTTGCTACATATACACTATAGTGTATGCTTTAATTTACACTTTGCCATGTGACATTACACTGTTGGACAGTATAAATTTCAGATAGTTTTCCCATCTAGTTGACACTTGACAACAATGCGAGTGTGAAACAACGTGTCAAAAATAAGTGTACAAATGGCAAAGTTCAATCGGTAAGAACCTTGCTGCATGTAAACTGTGGTGTACACTTTAGTTTACACTTTTCCATGAAACATTATCCTGTCGGACAGTTTAAATTTCAAATCATTTTCTCATTGAATAGAAACTTGACAACAATGCAAGTGTCAAGCAACATGTCAAAAATCAATGCACAAATGGTAAATTTCAATTGGTAAGGACCTTGCAACATGTACACTAATTTTACACCTTAGTTTACGCTTTGCCACGTGACATTACCCTGTTGGACAGTTTAAAATTCAAATAGTTTTCCCATCAAATTGACACTTTGACAACAATGTAAGTGTCAAGCAACGTGTTAAAAATCAATGTACAAATTGCGAAGTTCAATTGGTAAGAACCTTGGGACATGTACATTATGGTGTACACTTTAGTTTACACTTTGCCAAATGTCATTACCCTGTTGAACAGTTTAAATTTCAAATAGTTTTCCCATCCAATTGACATCTGACAACCATGCAAATGTCAAACAATGTGTCAAAAATCAGTGTACAAATAGCTAAGTTCAATTGGTAAGAACCTTGGGACATGTACATTATGGTGTACACTTTAGTTTACTCGTTGCCATGTGACATTACCCTGTTGAACAGTTTAAATTTCAAATAGTTTTCCCATCCAATTGACATCTGACAACCATGCAAATGTCAAACAATGTGTCAAAAATCAGTGTACAAATAGCTAAGTTCAATTGGTAAGAACCTTGGGACATGTACATTATGGTGTACACTTTAGTTTACTCGTTGCCATGTGACATTACCCTGTTGAACAGTTTAAATTTCAAATAGTTTTCCCATCCAATTGACATCTGACAACCATGCAAATGTCAAACAATGTGTCAAAAATCAGTGTACAAATAGCTAAGTTCAATTGGTAAGAACCTTGGGACATGTACATTATGGTGTACACTTTAACTTACACTTTGCCAGGTGGCATTACCCTGTTCGATAGCTTAAATTTCAAATAGTTTTCCCATCCAATTGACACTTGTCAACAATACAAGTATCTAACAACGTGTCAAAAATTAGTGTACAAATAGCAAAGTTCAATCGGTAAGAACCCTGTGACATGTACACCGTGGTGTACACTTTAGTTTACTCTTTGCCATGTGTCATTACCCTGTTGAACAGTTTAAATTTCAAATAGTTTTACAATCCAATTGACACTTGACAACAATGCAAGTGTCAAAAAATGTGTTAAAAATTAGTGTACAAGTAGCAAAGT